GCAGTTAATCTCCAATTTCAAAGCATTGCAGTGAGAGAATATGCTTGGTATGATTTCAGTCTTCTTAAATTTGCTGATACTCGTTTTGTGTCCCAACATATGGTCTATCCTTGAGAATGTTCCATGTGCACTAGAAAAGGATGTATAGTCTGGTATTCTAGGATGAAGTGCCCTGTAAATGTCAATTATGTCCATTTGATCTAATGTGTCATTTAAGGCTGATATTTCCATATTGATTTTCTGTTTGGATGATCTACCCATATTGTTCAATGGGGGTATTTAGGTCCCCTACTATAATTGTGTTTTTCTCAGTTTCGCCCTTTCTTTTGTTTTCTAGTAGGTAGTATTGGAGCGTTTTCTTATTCTTGCCCTATTCTGGTTTCTCATAATGGAGGATTTCCTGTGGAAGTGGGAATCTCCTCTGTGACCAGGTCACCTTGGTCTCAGGGCATCACCCCCATGGGAAGATGTGCTGGGTGATGGGGTTCCAAGCCTTTGAAATCCCAGTGCTGCCCTTGTAGCCAGATGCAGAACTTTGCACCTCAGCATCCCTGTACCCCGGCTGGAATCAGCTGCAAAAGGTGGGGTGGGGTGGGGCGGGTGGGCTGGGAGAGGCTGTGATGTGTTTGTGTCTTTGTTCTCCTCTGAGTAATGGTGATTCCCAGACCACAGCTGTGTCACCCCTATATCTCCTCCCTTGGCACTGGAATTGGCCACAGTGTACATCTGCTGCTCAGGAATTCTCTCCAGTTCTCAGGGCTGTAGATATTCTATTGTGTAACCTGACACTGCTACAGTTTCTTCTGGGATCTGCTACTAGCACTGGGAGGGTGGGTGGGTGGCCAGGCTTTGTTTTCTGCTTGGCAGTGAGAACTTAGTCCACAGCTGTCACACTTCTGTATTCAGCCTTTTCTCCGAGGTCTCTGCCCCTATCACTAGGTTCAGCCGTTATTATATGCTGATCACTCAGGAAGGAATGCCTGGGGCACAGAGTGCATCTTCGAACTCAATCCTCCCCTCTCCTGGACCACAGTGAGTGCAGAGCTACATTCACACCCCCGTCTCTGCACTTCTCCCTTCCCTCCTTCCTTTTGCCCCAATTTACCCACCTTCAGATGTCTCGATGTGTGGATATCTCAGACGTGTTTGTGTGTTGCACAGGGAATCCTTTGTTGAATTATAGCTGTTCAACTTGTTACTTCAAGGGGAACCCCTCACACTGTCATGTTTCTGGTGTCAGCATAGAGTTTTTACACAATTCCCTTACTGTCCTTTTAATGTTTATAGAATCTGTAGTCAATTCCATTATATCATTCCTGATTTGAAAATTTGGGCTTTACCTTTTTGTTTCTTGTAGGGTTTTTACTTTTCCTAATCTTTTCAAATAACTTCCTTTGATTTTCTCTATTGCTTGTCCTCTAGAGGACATGAAAACAAATGTGACGGAGGAAACTCATAAGAAGTATTAAGCATAGATAGTAAGTAAGCTATGAGCTTGAGATATGAACAAAACTCATGTGTGAAGTATAGATAATGAGTAAGCAAGCAGCTTTTGAGACACAGGCAGAATTCATATGACATGTTAAATATAGTTAGCAAGGAGGTAAGTAGCTTGCAGGATACACTAAAGATAAACAGAATAAGTGGAATATATGATGGAACAAATAAGAGTGTTACTTAAAGACAGAAGGGATTCAAAGACCAAGTCATAAGGTATCTTACCACCTGAACCAACAGTTACATTTTACTTAAATCAGCCACCAGTTAGTGACATTCAGTATCGTTCCATTTAACATAGACAAAACCCATGATGATTGTGCTGGTGGCTAACTGGTAAGCTACAGCTGAGGTGAATGGGGTATGTCTTTGGCCCTGGGCACCTTCAATCTGATTGAGAACCTTTTTCAAATCTCAACTCTGGTACTCATATTCAATGAGGCTGATGGGAAAGGGAAAGGGGGACATGTATGAATATTACATATCAAAGGATTCACAAAATGTGGTCCTTCACCCTGTTTGTACCCTATCCTAAGTGTTAACTTACCTGATCTCTATCTTGATGTATTTTTACTTTTTTATTTTATTTATTTTAAAGATTTTATTGGGGAATTGGGGGGGAGGGGAACAGTGCTGGGGAATTGGGGGAAGGGGAACAGACAAGTTGCTGTCCTTTTGTTCCTCAGTCTAGTTGTGTAGGGTGTTGCTTCACTGGCCCATGTTGGTATTGTCATTGTGCTCTTCTCAGGTGAGGCATATCGGTCACCGGCCTCTGGATGGCTGCTCACGGCGTCTCCTGGCGGCTCACACCGGCTGCCGGCTACACACGGTAGCTTATGGCAGCCCACTGCAGCAGGGGCTGCAGCCTACGCTGTCGCTGGTGACTCACGGCACCCCAGCTCCAGGTCGAGCTGTTGTTCACCATCTTATCTGTAGAGGGCAGTGTCACTGGCCCTCATGTGGGATCCGAGCCGGGGCCCTGCTGCTCAGAGCTGGCGTCCCAAGCCAACTCTTAACCAATGCGCCACTTGGCTGGCCCCTTGATGTATTTTTAAAGTATATTTTGTTTTTAAATTGATTTAATAAGCCACATGATTTGAGCATTTTATTTTGGTCTGTAAGCCTTTGTATTCTGAGACCTCTGGGATAGCTTGTCTCGTAGTATGTTAGAGTCCATCACTGTATCAAGGGAATTTCTCATATTAACAAGTCCCAGAGGTGAGAGAGGATCATAATTCATAGTTTGTTTTCCTAAAGCAATAACTGATTATTTCATATTATATTAAAATATTGGGGGCTCTGTACTGATCTGGGTGGTTATAGGGCCAGCCAAGGCTGATGTTAAGGATCTCAGGATAATCTTGAGGGTCCTAGGGAACAGGCTGAAGAGGTATCATAATGAATCTCATTTTAGAGGTTTTAATTAAAGCAATAAGACAAATTAAATCACTGGCATAAATAATGGGGACAGGACTCAGGGCAGGCCTGTAGGCAAAACAGCTTATTTGGGGGAGGTATCACGGATACATTTGTGGTGGGGCCTCTCCAAGTGTATATAAATAACAAGAACATGGATAAATATCCAAGATGATGGAGAAGATAAACACTGGGCTTGTCTCCTCCAGTGAACACATTAAAATTACAACTGAATTGTAGAACAATCAACCTGGAGAACCATCTGAAGTCTAGCTGAGCAGAAGTTTTATAACTAAGGATATAAAGAAGCCACGTCAAGACTGAAATAATTTAAAAATAAACAAGAAGAAAATGGAACACGGAGGGACATCAAGCACTGTCTCCTGAGTGCAGGCTGTTCCCATCCTGTGTCACTGTGGAGTCCTTGGGGGCAGCTCCTCTTTGTGCATAAACCCCAGTGACCATCTCCCAACTCTTCCACTCACTCAGACCTCACCAACTCATCACTAACATGAGATTCTGCATCTCTGAGACCCTACAGGCCAACTCCACGGATCCCTGTTACCACACAGAGTGCCCTTCACTCCAAACTTCCCACATTGACAGCCCATACTCTTTCTCTTTGCACTCATTAATGTTCTGCCACATTTTGCCATTTGCCTGAGTGCTCTTTACTCAGCCTCACTCACCACTGTCATTCCCACTGTGCCTCATATTCCCAGTTTACTGTACTCTGTCCAATTTCCAACATCCACTCTCTGCCCCATCGCTCAGCTACTTCCACTCTATTTATTTCCAACTGTACTTACTTCCATTCTCCCAGCATTACTTATATTTACTTACATCTTCTCTAGTAACTCACTTCACTGGATATTTCCCCCATTTCTCCCTACTCTTCCCTATTCACTTCCACGCTGCCCCTCATTACCTCCACTCTTGGCCCTTCAGTACGCTCATCCCTCTCTTCCCCTAATCCCAGTCCATTTATCCACATCCTGCTGTTCACCCATCACTTCCTCCATCACTCCCCTCACCTACTCACCCACAGGTGGCCCATCCAGTTTCCATCTGTGTCCCAGGAAGCAGGGGTCCAAGATTAACCTGAAATGGCAAGCTCTGACCCCAACCTCCACCCTACTTTAGGATGACCTTTAATGGCCCTGGAACCCCAGGAATATTCTTTATCAGCAAGAAAATGAAAATGCTTCATTTCTAGTGCTCTTGGATATTCTCTCAGCAGACTGCACCAGGAACAAGGAAGTCAGCCCCACATTTCCTGCCCATGCTTTATTCTCCATGAAAAGGCACTAAGTATGATGTGTGTGACTTAACATAGCTTATAAAAAAGTGAGCCCGTGGCTCATTTTCTTACAGAATAATTTAGGAAAAAAACAAAGCTTGGGAGGGCACAGGCAGGGTCTGAGGTCTGACTCACCCACCTTTTTAAAAATCCAAACACTGACCATGCCCAGGTTTTACACTGGTTGGGTTGACTAGTTCCACTACAGAAGCATGAGGGCCACACAGACAGTCATTCACTCAGTGGGGCTTCTCGTTTTGGAGCAAATGTGCTGTTACATAGTCTTTGCCTGTCTCCATTTAGACCATGGCTCTCAATTTGACTCTCATCTTGGTAAATGTTGTCACCAGCAGTAGTGTGACCTGGGGGGTGAGTTACTCAACTTCTCTGTGGATTCAGGCTTTATATCTCTGGTTTAAAGAACACACACACACACACTGATAAAGTAATTTAAATCATTTTGTTAATATAATGGAAAACCACTGGCAGGCTTTAGTACAGGGTATTTTCACAGATGTGACTGTGTATACTAAGAAATGTGAACCAGTATCAGTCATTTTAGGTTTACATTATGTGGTCCCAGTTAACCTGAGAATCACTATTTGACACCGTCAGGAAAGTAATGCCTATGTGCCTTTGGCACTGATTGGATATATATTGTTCTGACTGATCATTCAATTAATTCACTCTAAAAAATTAAAACTCCACATTGAACATATCTTTATTAAATGTTATGAAATCCTGTATCTAGAACCTGACTTCATTATAAAAGTAACATAACAAATTATGCTTTTTACAGTTTTATTTATTTATTGAAAAGGTAGTACATCCACATAATACAATTTTCAAAACTTCCATTCCCCCAGCCACCCACTTCCCCTTTTCTTTCCCAGAAGTAATTATGGTTCCCAGCTTCTTGTGTTTCTTTCCAGAGATAGTTTATACATATACACTCAATTATGTGCTTAACACTTGTTCTCCTTTTTATATACAAATGGTAGCACATTGTACTCACTATCCTGCACCTTGCTTTTTTTTCACCTAATAATGTATGCTGGAGATTATCCCACATCACTACATACATGGTGTCCAAGTTCTATTTATATATTTTATTCATTTTTTTCTATCTAGGAGTTTGCTGTATCAACATACCAGGATTTCAGAAAACAGACCCCTGGTGTTGTCATTTGGACAGCTTTCAATCTTTTGTTTTCATAAACAATTCATTAAGTGAGTACCTCTGTCCATCGTTTTGTACATGTGTGAGTATATACATTCCTAGAAGTGAAATTGCTGGCAAAGCCACATGCATTTGTGGTTTTGATTACTTTGGAATCATTCCTCTTTGAATAAGAGTTTTTCCTGGACTTGATGTCTGCTGGAGGTTCATGTGGGAAAAAAAACCCAGAGCCACATTCTAGAAAGATCAGAGGTTTTCTTAACAACTGGGATTTTTCCCCCCCAATTTAGTAGTTCCTTTAGACTTGACTTTTCTGGAGTCAGTAAATATAGTGGCAACTGTAGGGTTCTTCACAAGGAACACTCCCTTCTCTTTCCCCAGCCCCCACCAACTGCTCCTCCAATTAGTACAGACTACTTACTGCTATATATGGTTTGTCTGAGCAATTCCTTGTCAAGACCCCTGCCTGTTTCTCCTCATATCCCAAATGGGTCTAGGAAATATACTACCTCCCACCTATCCATGCCCTCAGTTACTGCTGTTGTGTTTGTGTATGTGTTGCACTTAGGGTGTTTCCTGAACCCCAGCTAAGAGTTCTTACCAGTGCTGTCTCACATCTACAGCCTTGAGCATTCTCTCTCGTCTGAGAGCACCCACAGTGGCTGCTTGATTTCCTCTGCCTGTGGCAGCCTTTTCATCAGGGTTTCAGATATCTCTTAATTTTGTCAGATATAGAGATTATACTTCTGCTTCTTTTTCTCCAGTAGCTTTTGGGTGAAGACTGAGATGAAAAGAAAAAAAAGGCTGACTTTATTCCCCATATTTAAACCAGAAGTCAGAACATACTTTTAAAATGTCAATTAACAAAACTTTCCTTCAGGGAACATAACAGACACTATTGATTTATTCTCTAATGTGCAATGAGCTTTGACTTCCGTGTGTGGCCTTTCCCATGGGCTTTCTTTCCTGTATGTGTTCTCTGATGTACAATAAGATTTGATTTTTGGGTAAAGGCTTTCCCACATTCTGTACACTTATAGGGTTTTTCTCCAGTATGAGTTCTCTGGTGTACAGTGAATGTTGATTTTTCTCTAAAGGCTTTGCCACACTCAGTGCATGCATAGGGTTTCTCTCCTGTGTGTGTTCGCTGATGTATTATGAGCTGTGACTTCTGGCTAAAAGCTTTCCAACATACAGGACATTCATAGGGTTTCTCTCCTGTGTGAATTCTCTGATGTATAATGAGCTTTGACTTTTCTCTGAAGGCTTTGCCACATTCATTACATTTATAGGGTTTTTCTTCTGTATGAGTTCTTTGATGTATAATAAGATACGATTTCTGGGAAAATGCCTTTTCACATTCATTGCATTCATAGGGCTTCTCTCCTGTATGACCTCTCTGGTGTAGCATCAGATAGGATTTCTGAGAGAATGCTTTCTCACATTCATTACATTCAAATGGTTTCTCTCCTGAATGAGTTCTCTGATGTACACCAAGGTTTGACTTTTGGGTGAAAGTTTTCCCACACACATCACATTCATAGGGTTTCTCTCCTGTGTGAGTTCTCTGATGCACAATGAGGGTTGACTTCTCATTGAAAGACTTCCCACATTCAGTACATTTATGAGGTTTCTCTCCCGTGTGAGTTCTTTGATGTATAATGAGAGTTGACTTATCACTGAAAGTTTTCTTACACTCATTACATTCATGGGGTTTCTTTCCTGTATGAGTACTATGATGTATAATTAGATCAAGCTTCTGTATGAAAGACTCCCCACATTTAGTGCATTCATAAGTTTTCTCTCCTGTGTGGGTTTTCTGATGGACAATGAGGTTTGACTTCTGAGTGAAAGCTTTTCCACATTCATTGCATTCATAAGGTTTCTCTCCTGTATGAGTCCTGTAATGTATGATGACAGTTGACTTTTCTCTGAAGGCTTTCCCACATTCTGGACACTCAAAGGGTCGCTCTCCTGTATGAGTTCTCAGGTGTATAATGAGCTGAGATTTTTGGCTAAAGGCTTTTCCACATTCAGTACATCCAAAGGGTTTCTCTCCTGTATGAGTTCTCCAGTGTACAATGAGATGTGATTTCTTGCTGAAGGTTTTCCTACATGCAGTACATTCAAAGGGTTTCTCTCCATTTTTAATTCTCTGATGTAGACTAAGACCTTTCTTTCGCCTGAGGGCCTTCCCACACTCTTTATATCCATAGGTTTTCACTCCAGGAGTTGTTTTCTCATACTCAGTATGGAATAATAATTTTGTATTATCATGTTTCTTTTCTACAGAGCTTCTACTAAATAAGTCTAAATTATCTACCATATTATTTCCAAATGACTCATGTTTATGAGGTTTTTGTATTGAAGCAACAAGGTTTGTACTCAGATGAAGTGTGTTTCCAAATTCATTATAGTCATGGCCACTCTTGGTGGTGATTGTTTTCTTGTCAGGGAATCCAACTTGTATCAACAAACATTTATCTCTATCGTCATGGTTCTGTCTCTCAATCTGTTCATCAACTTGGCAGGCTTCTTCTAGAAAGAAGTACAGTAAATCATTTTTATACTTTGACATTATGGAATGGATCTTCTTTAGAAATGCCCTGCCATATGAAAGCTGATACTATTATCTCATTTTATCAGAGTTCCTGGAGAGAGAAATTTGACCATCAAATTCTGCTTTTTACAAAACTCCCACCTGCTAGCCTTTTTGTTACTAAGAACAATCTCACCCTGACACCTCAGTCTTTCTTACCTCTACTTTTACATCATCTCTGATTTCCATCAACTCTAGTGACCTTATCACCCTTAATCTTCATTTATCATATGAACTCTTAATTGTACCTGACTTATACTATTTGCAACAAGCCTGAATCCATATTCTTAGTAAATGAAAGATTTAGAATAATTAGCCTTACCAAAACAAAGAAAAACCTAAAGATCTTTGGCCAATCCCGACTCATTTTTGTATCTATCTAAGCTTGCATTCACAATTCTTTAACACCACCTTCTGCTCCTGTCTACACGCTTTCCTCTAATATCTATGTCTATTATTAACTCCAAAACCTTCCTCATGTTCCATTGCCCACAGAGCTTAATCCTCCATAGTTTGCTATATTCAGAATCTAGATAACTCTCAAGGTGTTCAGTCTTTTCAAAACTTACTCTATAACTTTAATTTTTACTAACTTCTAAAGTAGTTGTTCATCTGTACTACTCAGATAAAACTGCAAAGCCTTGCCTTTAATATACCATATTTCATCAATCTCAAGATGCATATTATTCCATATTAACATTTCTGAATCCAGATACACCTCACAATCAATGACATGCCATAAATTAATTTGTGGCAATTTTTCTTTGTTAGTGGTGTGTCTTAAAATCAATCGTCCCTTGAAGTCAATAAAATATGGTACATACTTTTTGCACAGATACTTAATTTTATCATTATTTGTAGTTTGCTTTTCTTCTCACCTTTTCCTGAAATTTTATATGAAAATTTTCAAACATACAGAAAAGTTGAAAGAAGAGTACAATAACTAAACTACTCATATTACCACTTAGATTTAATAAAGATAACATTTGTGATAATAATACTGAATTTTAAAATGGTTCATACAGCTGTGGTTTCTCTTCCTGTGACTTATTTCTTTAGATATCAAAGCACTAATTCTTAACCATGAGTGAACATCAGAATCATAGAAAAAGCTTTTATAAAATACATTTGACGGGATCCAGGACTCACCAAGGATCTATTGATTCTGGACCTCCTTAGATGGTAAGAAGCAATATAGCATATGTGGCTAGGGTCATGGACTCTCTAGCCCAGGATCAAATCCTGGCTTAGTCTTTCACTTGCTCTGTGACCTTAGGCAAGTTATCTAATCTATTTGTATCTTACTTTCCCACCTGGAAAACAGGCATTATAGCACTGCCCACCCACTGTTTGTTGATATGATTAAATTACTTATAACAGAGTATGCATGCCACATAGGAATTGCTTTCATAAGTTTACTAGAACAACGACTATACTACTATTACTGCTACAATGATTTCTACTAATATTATGATTAAGAGCCACTACATTACTATAAAAAATAAGAAATATCTCAATATATTCAACATGTTCTTGAATATCAAGTGGAAAAAAGGTGAATAAAACTGTGCATAGTAGGCTACTATTTTTCTAATGAAGAAAATATATATAAATATATATTTATATAGGCTCATGTAAAAACACAATGGAAGGATAAACTTAAAATTTTAATAAATGGTTACCTATAAGGAGAAGAAAAGAAGAGTGTGGGATGGAGAGGTAAAGAAGCTGGACTTCTTGAAATATACCTTGTTTTCTAGATTTGACTTTGGAAGCAAGTAAATACTTGTGTTAAAAAGAAACAACAGTACAGCTGAAACTAATTCTAAAAAATGTGTATTTCATAATAAAAAAAAAGAAAAAAAAAAAAGAAACAACAGACCCAAAATGGAGTCATTTGTGGTAAGCTTCACCAAGGCTTAATAATTGCAGTTTCAGCCTCTCCCAGGAGTGGAATTTTAAATCCACTGTAGAATTTCCTGATCAGCACTAGTGAGGTAATCTGCCTGAAAAGATTCCCTACCTTTGCCTACAGGAAAGTGACCTTGCCAAAAATAATCCACTTTTAGACCTCCTCATCCCACTCTCCTTCTGCCTGTAAAAACCTTCCATTTTTATACAACTCCTTGGAGCTCCCTTCTATTTGATAGATGGAATGCTGCCCAATTCATGAATTGTTTAATACCAATTATATCTTCAGAGTTACTTGGTTGAATTTTTGTTCTTTAACATTTGCAAATTTTATATAATCATAGAGCGAAATTGAATATAAAGGATTCCCTAATAATAAATATCCCCTCATCTATATTTCCTAACACTCCTGCTGAAAAGTCTTGATTCTCAATGACACCAACATGATTACTTCAATTGATTCAACCCACTATTCACATCCATCAGTCTCAGTATAGTACCAAAAATAAATACTGTAAAAAAATAATATAAACAGAGACACTTTAAAATGGAGTCAGAGCTGCCCTCCCAGAACTGCCTTGCACATATTACTCCTCAAACCTTTAGAATGTTAAAAACAGGACACAAAGAACATTTGAACTGGGCCTAAAGCAACACTGTCACAAGCAACTGTTTGGAAAGATAAGAAAGCAGATATTATGACTACCGGACTGATAACTACTGAACTACCAGACTGAAAATTAAAAACATTGTTTAGAATTAGCATCACTATGTTAGCTTATCTGCACCTATTGACATGCCTTCCCTCTACTGATGTAATTGTTTCCCTTCCCTTTCTCATAAATACTCCTTGCCTTTGTCTCCTAATCAGAACACTATTTGGGTTTCTGCCTGAATCAGTGCTTCCCAAATATTCTTTTTTTATCTCAAATAAATGCTTGTTGCCTCTCACTTTGGTCTTTTATTTTTAGGTTAACAGTACCATCAGATGTAAGATTAAAAAATTAAAAATCTTTAAGCCCAGAATTTGATTTGGAAATATCAATTTGAATATATGTATTTTCTCTTTAAAAAAATATATATTTTTTACATATAAAGTTCCTAGCTCTGTCAATGAAAAGGCCTGGAAACTATTCCCCAACTTCCATATTGTGGTCTCAAAACATTATTTACCACTAAGAAGAACCAGGCCTCCTTGGAGAAGTGGCTGATTCCAGGTCAGAAACAGGAAATATGTAAAATGATCCTGGAATGTCTTGTAACACCAGAAAGCAAATAATCTACCAAAGACTCAGAAGCCAACTTGAAGGCATTTCCATTGGCCAGAGATGGAGCACTTTGATGCATAATAAGGATAAGGCAATGGACTAAAACATAAACATGTTTAAATTCCTAAGACCATAAATGATACTCAAAAAAAGACATATTAGTCACCGTTGAATGATGCTACAAAACTGATTATTTTGAAAACTAGGAAAAGCATGTAATTCATGTATACTATGTACCTATTCTGTATAATACGTAACTCATATGTAACCAAATAGAGCAATCCCACTTTATAGTAGTATTCCAGCTAGTCAACAAAGAAGGAATGATAGATTTTGAGTATCACCATTTTGCAACCATTAATGAATTAATGGATCTAAGCAATAATCACCAATGACTCATAAGAGAAAAAAGACAGACAACCATGTATTACATGCTTTCTGATGGAAGTATGTTACACCAGTTAGGAAATAATCTTGCTAAAAGAAAATAAAACCCTGAATCTGATCAAGCTTCAAGATCTAACTACCAATTTGCAAGATAAACAGGAGATAGGAATATGTTAAATGCCACCATGGGGTACTCACTAGCAAAATCCAGAATGTGAGAAACTAAAGGACAAATGACCCAGCTACTTAAAAAATAAATATATAAGGGAGAAAACAGATGGAGGGGAATTATCTGTAAATTATAAGACAAAAGTTCAAGTAGCTATAAACACACCCAAACCTAGATCCTGATTTCTATATACCATTCCCCATTAAAAGTTATCAGAGATCCTTGGAGAACTGCTCATTCCAGGTCTGAAACTGGAAAAGTACAAGGCAAATCTGAAATATATTTTTGTGCTCCCTCAAGGAATGAGGGAGACATGGAAAAAGACAGAGGAGCCAGCCTGAAGGGACTCTTACTAGCAAATCAAGGACAGTTTGAACATCAAAATGAATAATGACAGTAGAAAATAATGGATTATAGTACATTGAAAAATAGGAATCCACAAGTCCATACTGATAATAAAATTAATGGAGACGGGATAAGGGAAATTGTTCACAGAAGAGTGCCAACTTAGAAATATAGATGGAATAATAGAAAATTCATCATCTTTTCAACCATCTTGGTAATGACTGATTAAGGAAAGAATCATCAGGGAATGTTAAAACCATTGGATAAACATTTCTGAGGAACAGGATATTTACACAGTTTGGCAGTTCCACAAAATGTTAAACACACAGTTACCACACTGTTCAACAATTCCACTCCTATGTATGTAAAGAAATGAAAACATACATCACAAAAACTTCTACATGAATGTTTATAGAAGCATTAATGTGGAAACAACCTCTAAATGTCCATCAGCAAATGAATAGATAAACAATATATGGTATATCCATACAATGGACTATTATTCCGCCATAAAAAGGAATGAAGTATACTGATACATGGTGCAATGTGGACGACCCCTGAAAATATGCCAACAAATGAAAAAAATCAGATGTAAAATGCCACATTTTGTATGGTTCCATTTATATGAAATATCCAGAATAGGCAAATCCATAGAGACAGAAAGATTAGTGGTTGTCAGGGGCTGGAGGAGGGAATAGAGTGACTGATAAGAGATAGGGGTTTCTTTTTGGGGTGATGTTAATGTTCAGAAATGAGATAGTGGTGATGGTTGCACAACTCTGAATATACTAAAAATCACTGAATTTATCTACTTCAAGAGTTAATTTTATGGTACCGTGTTTCCCTGAAAATAAGACCTAGCCGGAGAATAAGCCGTAGCATGATTCCTCCAGGATATGGAGGGCACGCACCCCTCACATGAGGGTTTCATGACCTGTTTCAGGGAGAAGGATGCCTTTTCCACAAACTCCTTCAGCTTAAAATATTCAGTATGCCAAGGTGCCATATTTTGGCACCTAAAATCATGCTACGGCTTATTTTCTGGCTAGGTCTTATTTTCGGGGAAACAGGGTAGGTGAATTATATCTCAGTAAAGCTCTTTTAAAAAAGAGATAATCAAGATGTTTTAGGAGAGCAAATCTGATAGGAACATCTAAGCTGAATGGAATCAGGTAATTCAATCTGGAATTAGAGCATTAGCCTAGGTCTGTGACTAATGTGGGCCTGGCTTCAGTAACGCAGTAAGAAATAAGAAAGGTAGAAATGGCAGGTGTTGGAGGCAGGGGATTGGCATATATAAGACACTTATATATGGGAAAAGGAGCAGAAACTTGTGGGTGAGCACCAACTCCAGGAGAGTGGTCTGCTGGGTGTGGCAGGGGAGGGGGATCAGCCTTATGTCTGGGGTGTTCAAATCCCTGTCCATCATCAAAGAGCCACAACCTTTTTCCAGATATTCCTGAAAGCCCTTTCAGAGGTCCTCACCCCTGACTGACAAGCTGGGACCTCATGTTCCCATAGCCTGGATCCATCCCACTTACCTGGAAAGCTCCAAATTGGGATTTTTCCTTCTGCCAGGCATGGCTCTTCTACCTCCAATTTGAGAATGAGGTCTGGTTTGGTAGCCTGCTGCCCTGCTAATGAGAAATGACAGCAATACCTCCTTGGTCTTCAGAGCTTCTGAGAAAGAGGAAGGTGGAGTTTGGGGCTGCACAAGGGACCTATCACTTGACACAATGGTTAAGTCAAACCATTTCACCTGAGTTTTGAGTTGATAATCACCTTGTCAGGAGAGCAAAGGAGGACAAAGGAACTTTGATGCCTGGAATTCAGTGTCAAACTCTTCAAACAGTTCAGAGACCTTGCAAATTTCCAAAATTGGGAAAGGAAAGGCTCTCTATTGGACACAATCATAAACTGAAATTACCTGAGGAAGTCATTCTTACCCACAGAGACCAGGTTGCTATAGGTCTCCAGCATCACATCTCTGTACAGGTTCCTCTGTGGAGGGTTCAGGTACTGCCACTCCTCCTGGGTGAAATCCACAGCCACATCCTCAAATGTCACAAGTCCCTGTAATTGCACATTCCTTTTATTCTAAAATGCTAAACACTGGGTAATGAGGATGGAATGTAGGAGAAACTTCTGATTGGATTCCCAGTTCATGATGATGACTTAATACAGGATGCCTCCTTTATATCAAGTTAATGACCTACTTTGTGGGAAAATCACAAATCATGGTAGAAAAACTTCCATTAAATAATAGAATATATAAGACAATGCGGTATTAGCACAAGGCTAGACAAATAGTCCAGTAGAACTAAAAATAATCCAAATATGTATGGACACCTGAGTTATGACAAAGGTGGCACTGCAAAGCAGTGGGAAGAGGATGATCTTTTCAAATAAATGTGGATAGGTTACTGGATAGCTCTATTGGGGAAAAATAACATTTAACCCCTAACACTCACCATACACAAAAATCAGCTACAGGTATACTGTAAATCAAATGTGAAAGGTAATACAATGAAGTATCCAGAAAATAACATAGGAAAATGTTTTCACAGTCTTGGGGTAAAGGGAGAATTCTAAAACAAGACATGAAAAACACCAGTCTTAAAGGAAAAGACTTATAAATGTTACAAGGTTAAAAACACAACAGTAAAAAGGCAAGCTGTAGATGGGGAGGTTATCCTCAACGTTCCTAAGTGATAAAGGGATCTTATCTGGATCATATAAAATAACTCTACAAATCAATAAGAAACATATAAACAACACAGAAAAATAGACAATAGATGTGAATAGGTACTTTACTAAAAAGAAAAACCAAATGACCTATGAACATGAGAAAATGTACTCAACTTTATTAGCAGTCAGGTAACCAATGAAGTACTCAATCCCATTAGCACTCAGATTAAAACTTGAGCCACACTGAGATACCACTAGGCACCTACCAGAAAGGTTATAATTAAGCAAACTAAAATACCATAAGTTTGTGCTGATATGGGAACTCACACACTGTTAGTAGGAATGTAAACTGGTATAATTTCTTGGGGAAACAGATTGGCATTATTTACTGAAGTTAATGATTTACATACACTATGACCCAACGATTCTACTATTTCGTACACACCTTAGAAAAAATCATGCACATGTACTCTAGAAAACAAGTACAGGGATATTCACAGCAGCACTATTTCTAATACTAAATTGTGGGGAAAACCCAAATGTCTGTCAACAACACAATGGATAATTGTGGCCCAGTCATTCAGTACAATACTGTGGTAATGAAAATGAATGAACTACAAGTGCATATCCAACACAGATGAATCTCACAGCTGTACAAATGAATCCAGACACAAAATAGTACATACTGCATGATTCTGTTTATATATAGTAAGAGAACAGGCAAGACCAATCCATGATGTTAGAAGCCAGGAAAGTAATTACCTTTGGGGATGGGTGGTATTAACTGGGAGAGGGCTTGAGTGGGGATTCAAAGGTCCTGATTATGTTCTAATCTTCAGCTATGGGGTGGCTACACAGTGTATTCACTTTGTGACAGTTCATCAAGCTGTAGACTTATAAACTGCACTTCATGTATGTTATAATAAAATGTGTTTTATATCTTTATACTTAAAATTATTTTTTTCTCTCTAATTTTTCTTATAATGATTATACATTTTTACATTTACATTGTGTGGTAAATAAAACAAGTTTAAAATTATTTTCTTTTTGAGATTTGTATTGTGGAATTGGGGGAGCAGAACATCATTGGGGAATCGGGGAAGGGGAACAGACAACTTGCTGTCTTTTTGTTCTTCAGTCTAGTTGTGGAGGACGTCGCTTCACTGGCCCAAGTTGGTATTATCATTGCACTCTTCCCGGATGAGGCAGTCGCTCGTCGGCCATTGGATGGTGGCTCACAGCAGCTCATGCTGGCTGCCAACCACTCATAGTAGCTCCCAGCAGCCCACTGCACCAGGGGCTGCAGCCTACGCCGTCACTGGCGACTCACGGCAGCCCAGCTCCAGGTTGAGCTGTTGTTCACCATCTTAGCTGTAGAGGGTGCAGCATCACTGGCCCTCATGTGGGATCTGAATCGGGGTCCTGCTGCTCAGAGCAGCATCCCAAGCCAATGCTTAACCAACGCACTGCTCGGCCAGTACTAAAATTATTTTCAGCAAAAATGCAAAGGCCATTCAATGGAAAATGGGAGTTCCCATTTCAATAAATGGTACTGGAACAACTGGATATCCATATGCAAAAAAAGAACTTAAATCCATACCTCCACCATATATAAAAATTAACTCAAAATGGATCACAGACCTAAACGTAAAATTTAAACCTATAAAATTTCTAGAAGAAAATCTTTTTAACCTTAGGTTAGCCAAATAATTTCTTAGGTGTGACACCAAAATTCAAAAGACACTGTTAAGAGAATTAAAAGCTATACAATGGGAGAAAATATTTATAAATCACATATCTGGAAAAAAAGTAGTATTGAGAATATATCAAGAACTCTCAGGCTGGCCAAGTGGCTCAGTTGTTTAAGAGCTAGCTTAAGAGTACGAGCTCTGGTGGGCCGGCCGAGTGGCGTGATCATTAAGAACTGACTTGGGACACCAGAGGGCCCCGGTTCGGATCCCACATATGCAGGCCAGTGACACTGCCCTCTACAGCTAAGATGCTGAACAACAGCTCAACCTGGAGCTGGGCTGCCGTGAGTCGCCGGCCACGGCGTTGGCTGCAGCCCCTGTGGCAGTGGGTTGCAATGGGCTACCGTGTGTAGCCAGCAGCCAGCGTGAGTGGCCAGCAGCCGCAGTGAGCGGCCGTCTAGAAGCCGGCAACTGATCTGCCTCGCCCAGGAAGAGCGCAATGATGGTGCCAACTTGGGCCAGTGAAGCAACGTCCTCCACAACTAGACTGAAGAACAAAACAACAGCAACTTGTCTGTCCCCCTTCCCCCAATTCCCCAGCACTGTTCCCATCCCCCAATTCCCCAATAAAAATCTTAAAAAAAAAAAGAGTATGAGCTCTGAGCAACAGGGCTGCTGGTTTGATTCCCACATGGGCCAGTGATGCTGCGCCTGAGTTGAGCTGCCGCTGAGCTGCCAACAGATGGCAGGATGGCTCAGCTGGTGAGAGCATGTGCTACTAACAACAAGACTGCCTGTTCGATGGTGGGCTATGCCCACCCAAAACCAAGACTGAACTCAGCACCTTGAGCTGAGCTGCCACCTGGATGGCTCAGTGGATAGAGCATGCACTCTTAACAGCCAGGCTGCTGGTTCGACTCCCACATGGGATGGTGGCTACGCCCACCCACAACTAACATGGTAACATAGTACCTTGAGCTTAGAAGCCAGGAGCTGCCAACAGGCAGACAGGTGGTGACTGGCGCCCTCCACAACTAAGATTGAAGAACAACAACTTGGCTGGTCCCCCTCCCCAATTCTCCAACACTGTTCCCCTCCCCCAATTCCCCAATTGAAAAAAAAAACTCTCAAAGCTAAAAACAAAAACAAAAATTGGTGGTGGTGGGGGGTGCAAAAGAGAGATACTTCACCAAAGATACACAAATGACAAATAAGCACATACAAAGATGCTTAACATCATTAGTCATGAGGAAACTCCAAAATTGAAACCACAATGAGATACCACTACACACCTATTAGAATGGAAATACAAAACAAAAAAACACCTGAAAATACCAAGTGCTGGTGAGGATGTGGATCAACTGAAACTATCAAATATCATAGGTAGGAATGCAAAATGGCAGAGCCACTTTGGAAAATAGTTTTCCAGTTTCTATAAAGTTAAGCATAGACTCCCATAAGCCCCAGCAATCCCACTCAAGGTACATTTACCCAAATGGATAGAAACTTATGTAAACCTAAAAAATTGGACATGAATATTTATATAGCAGCTATAGTTGTAATCACCCAAATAGGAAACCCAAAGGTTTTACATTCAGTGAATGGATACACAAACTAGAATCCATACAATATAATACTACTCAGCAATAAAAATGAATGAACTAATGATACATGTAACAATATGGATGAACTTCAAATGTATTATGCTAAGTGAAAGAAGTCAGACTCAAAAGCTACATACTATATGATTCCATTTGTATAACATTATGGGAAAGGCAAAACTATAGAGACCAAAACTATATCAGTGATTACCAGGGGCCAGTGTGCAGCAAGAGTTGACTACAAAGGGGAAAAACTGGGAGGTGACAGAACTGTTTTATATCTTCATCGTGGTGGCAGTTACATTCTGTATGAGTTTGTCAAAACTTGCAGAACTGTACACTAAAGTGAGTCCATTTTACTGTATATACATTATACGTTATTTTTTAAAATTTTAATTAAAAATTAAGGAGCTTCCAATTATTCTAGAATAACTACATCTATTAAATCCAAATCTCTCCGTATATCCTCCAAAACACTATACAGATCAATATGAAGAACAAGTAAAACCACACAACCCCTATCTTCAGTATAACATAATAAAAAAGAGATCACTACAAGTTTCTAATTACCTGTAAGTAAAACCAAATAACAAATTCCAACTGACCTGGCTTTCAAACTCTGCCATAAGCTTTCTGGAGTGTGAGAGGGGCCTGAAAAAAAGTCAAGAGGACAGAAGAGGGGAACAGAGAGCCTAATTGTGAGTTGAAATCATGTTTAGAAAGAGAAAATCTACAATAAGTATGAAAATACTGAAAAACTGTCCAGATATATCAGAGCACCAATTATAGGAAAGGTGTGAGGGACACAAGGTAACAGTAAAAAAAAGCATCACCTCTGTGGGATCAGAGGGTAAAAAGGAATGAGAAAGAACCACTTGGAGATTGGGTAGTGAGGGGGAAATCTAGAGGGAAATTTAGGGTCAAATAAAAAAAAAGAATGTCCAAAACAAATGAAAACAAGTCAGAGCACACACACATCAGTGGCTCTCCACAGCCAAAATAGTCATCCATTAAGGAAATTGCACTTCGCTTCACTGACAAAAGAGGGTGCTCTTGAAACAAGAATCATACAGGCCACCCCAGCCTCCAACAATGTCCTCAAACCAAAC